GCGTGTGTCACCTGAGATCCGTTCAGGAAGTTGCCCATGGCTAGGAGAGCAGCCAGAATGCTCTTGAAGGTCCGGCTTTTGGCCAACTGCTCCATGCCTACCTTCAGGTCAAAGAGGGGTTCTGCAATTTCCTGGAAAGAAAGCACAACACCAAGACAATCACCCCCATCCTCACCAAAGACAGTGAGTGAGTGAGTGAGTGAGTGAGTGAGTGAGTGAGTGAGTGAGTGAGTGAGTGAGAGAGAGAGAGAGAGAGAGAGCACCATCCAGCACGCAGGTCCGTGTGTCCTCCTAGAGCACCTGGCTCAGAACCAATGCAGGAAAGCAATGCCTTCAAAAGCTGCCCTGAAAGGTGGGGGTGGTGGCCGCAGCAGCAGTTCGGGGGCCTCACCTCTGCCGACGGGTGATTTGGGAGACAACTGGACCATCAGAAAAACTCCCCCCCCCAGCGCAGGCTGCCTGATAAACCAGGTGGCCACGTTGGTTTCAGCAGCAGGCAGGAGCCAACAGCCCCCCCCGGTCTCCCTCGGGGTGTGTGCATGGGTGTGGGTGTGCGTGCGTGTGTTCGGCACGTACCTGTTCCATAGCCTCATAGTCCAGCTTGAAGGCCCACAGCTGGAGGCGGGCGCTGAGCTCCGTGACGGAGGAGAGGGCCAGCAGGAACTGCTCGGCCGAGCCCAGGGGAACGCCGGGGTTGGCTAGCTGGGCTTCCTGGATCTTCTGCTTCTCCTCCTCAGTGGGGACCATCATCAAGAGCTTCTGTCAAATGGAGGGACCCGGGTCAACTGGAGTGAGGGGAAACATGGTGCCTTACTGCCACCTTTTAACAGCCAAGGCTGGTGGGCGGCACAGAAGGGGCCCAGTTCTTGCCACCCCCAGACTCCACAGCCCTCACCTCAATCCCTTCCTTATTAATTGCAAACTCGTCAAAGTTGAGGATGGCCATCTTGATGATGTGGACAGGAGGCAGCGACGTCAGGCCAATGTTGATGGCGTTACTCCGTGGTGCCTTACTGCCACCTTTTAACAGCCAAGGCTGGTGGGCGGCACAGAAGGGGCCCAGTTCTTGCCACCCCCAGACTCCACAGCCCTCACCTCAATCCCTTCCTTATTAATTGCAAACTCGTCAAAGTTGAGGATGGCCATCTTGATGATGTGGACAGGAGGCAGCGACGTCAGGCCAATGTTGATGGCGTTACTCCGCTTGGGATCCAAGACCACCAGAAACTT